TGTTTAGTTTTAACTTAGGCATTCTTTCTCTTGCTTTTCGTTCTGTTGAATGTTTCTATTTTTTTTCCTTCTGGCTTTTTAAATAGGTGAATTTAAGGCTATGCATTGACCCCTCAGTATGACTTTAGTCGCATCCCACAAAAGTTGGCATGTCAATAGAGCTATTCTAATTTTTTGTTTAATTTCCAATACAAAATGTGATCTTCTCTTTAAGTATTTTAATTTTTCAAAGTTTCCTTCTATATGGGGTATTGTTAGTACATTCTAAGAAGTTTTCTCTGTCTCTCTCTCTCTCCTTTTTTCAATTTCTGGTTTCTTGTTCTTTGGTCCCCTTGGCATTGCCAATGGGTCCTCTGGGAGCCTCAAAGTCCTCTGAACATATCTCCCTTCCTGATGCCTCACTGAGGCCGTCATTGCTCCTGCAGCCTCCTCCTAGCTTGAGGACTGCCTGACTACTCTTGCACCATCCTCCTCTGGGTTTCCTAGCTTCTCCACTCAGAAACTGGCAGAAAGGTTCCAGCCTTCATCTCCTCTCGACCTCTGCATCCTCCTCTATCCTCCTCACCTCCATCTGGACTGCCCCACTCCCACAGCCACCTCTGACTTGCTCTCATGCCTCAGAATCATAAACTCCAATGTCCTCTGATCTGGCCACAACTGCCAACCTGTCTGGGCCCCAGAGCCTCTGCTCTCTGATGTCACGGAGCCCCAAGAGCCCCAAGTTTGGGTCTGTCCATCTCCTTCTTGCCTCTTGCTGTCTCCTCCCTGGCTCGGACCTACCCCAAACTCTCCCCACCCTACTGCCTGATGCCCAAGGCTGGATTCGCCAGTCCTGACTTTCCACTTCTGTGCCTGGGATCCTGGAGACATTCACAGCCCTATAAATTCCCAACGCTGCTCCCTAAACCCCGAGTCACACCCTCTTACTCTTACTCAGCAATAGCTCAGGAAGCCTGCCTCTCTCACCAGGACTGCCAGGGCTCTCACTCCATACTCTATACCTAGCTTTTGGCCTTCTTGAGCCTATTCCCTGGCCCTCTACTCTCCCAGGATTCCCTCAGGTCCCTAGGGGTTGTCCTACCCCAACCTCCACACAAGGCTTAGCAGGGTAGGTCCTGACATGCCATCTTGGCCAGACTGAGAATCCCTCAAGGCATAGTTGGAATTAGCTCTGGGGCTTCCCTCAGCACTCAGAACATGGCCAGACACAGAAGTTTCTAGAAGCTGCTTGTTAAGTGAGTATATGTGTGGGTGGAGACCCCAGGGGCATGGGTCCCCAGCAAAGCCTAGCTTGATTGAGACTAAGGCTGGAGTGGACCTTGGCTCTCTGCTCCACCCGCTCCCTAAGCCAGACTGTGGGGCAGACCTACCTATGATGGAGGCAGTGGCCCGCTCAGACCCAGGGATGGCGCCATGTGGGACCCCCAGAGTGAAGGCCTCACTGTAGCTCTCGTCTACCTCCATCTTCCTCCAGATTCGGAATTCACCCATAGAGCCCCAGCCAGTGGAGAAACCAATGAACTGGACCTCTGGTGGCCGCAGGAGGGTCCAGTCTACAATGACAGATTCATTGGATGGCTCTGGACCATGGCCCACCTGGGAAAAGACACCAAGGCTGTTGGACGCTGGCAGGAAGCACACTATGACACTCAGACAGCAGTGACACCAGCTATGGGACTAAGG